GCTCCTCGCTTGTTTCCAGGGCGACGCTGATGAATGAAGAAACGCAATAAAAACACAGCAATACGTACCTATATCAACATAATGAAAACGTGCCAGGGTTGACTTATTGAACCCGTGTTTTAGCGCCACTCAGTGGACATTTCTCTTTGAAACTGCGGCGAAACGTGCAGTAAGGTACGTAAAAACGGTGTTGCAGAAAAGTACGCAGAGGTACGTATTTTTATGAGACTGGGTTGGACGAAAAGGAGAGTTGCAATTGGTAAATGTACTGTGACGAGAACAGACAAAGAACTGAACCAAACTAGCAGTATAAATACACAGGACAAATGGGACTGATCGATTAATAAATGAATAACTATGGGAATGAATAAACACTGAACCGAATGTAGAAAACACAGACACTACGTGATTTGTGTTTTCCAAGAGCATAGTTAGATAACTATGGTCGCAAGTTACATCGTTACCAACATAGTTAAACGATTTGGTGTTTACCGAATCCATAGTTTCAACAAACATTCACAAAAAGCATCTCAATCTGTGGTTAGAAGTGTAGTTTCTTGTTAATGTGACATATGGACTTAAACAGATCATGCACTTGAGCAAAATAAGCCAGCTAACATGTAGTGCAATCTATATCTGTCGTTCCATACCAATTTCATTCTACATCTTTTGGTTTGTTAAGAGAATTATGCGTGTCTGTGCTCTAGTACAACTGGGAAGCCCTGGAGTGATGTAAGGAAACCTGCAAAATAACGGAGAACAAAAACAGGGAAGCAGTCCTCAGATGCCATGTTTGTCATTTACAGCAACTCAATTTACAGACATTAATTTCATCTCAAACTGATTAATTAGAATAAGTTATCACTCCACCACCTTATAAACGACAGTTTTAACCAATGCAGTTCAGGAAGCAGTCTTAACTAGATAGTTAGTTAGTTAGTTTCTCCAGCAATACATTCAACAATGGTATTAGCATGTAGATGTACAAAAAACAAGGTATTATATCATGTCCAAAAATCATGTCTGTGTCATTGACACCTATTTCCCCCCCCCATTTTTCCATTAAAATATATTTTTAAATTATTTTATTTGTTGTGTTGTGATAGTCCAATGATTTCAGTTCATATTAAATCATAACCATATATTTATATATTATAAAAATTCCACATTCACCGTAGTTTTTCTGAATAAATGTGTATTATAGTGATTGTTGTGAAACTGAATGCACTGCTTATACTTTGTCTTTGTGTTGTAGATGGACCTGAAGCTACTTTTCATGTCAACATTATTCGGGATCATTTGTTGCAGCAGCGCACAGCAAGGTAATGTGAACTCCGTAGTTTCTAATTCACTGTATTTCTGTCCAGTGCACTGTAACTCTGTCCGACTCCGTCAGAATTAATAAGCGCTGGGTTTCTATGAGGATAACTAATCGTTCTCTCTGCAGAGCGAGCGGTTAAATACTGATGTCATTACTCAGAGCGCGCTCCACCCAGCGCGGTCGGAGCATTATCCATAATGGAAAACATAGAGTAGTCATCTTGGCTCTAATTACAGCGAGCCGGAGTGATGTAAATGAATCGAAGCTGTAGATGTGAAATGCTCTCCGTCTCTCCTGTTCTGCAGAGGGCAACGAGTGCATCAAAGCCAACGCTTTATCCTGTGGCCAGTGCATACAAGTGGGGGCTAAATGTGGATGGTGCACTGATACAGTGAGTAGTGTTCAGATGCCATGGTCATTCTGTTCTTTAACCCTCCAAACACATTTACTGACCCAGTATATTTATGCTGAATCACACTCACATTCATGCTGACTAATCAGAGCTGTACTGATAGGCCAAGAGCATGATTACCAGTCTGATATCGCTTTTATACAACAGTTCAATAAACAATTGGACCAAACAGACATAATGCAGAAGAAAATGACTCTAGATGTTAATAGGTTTGGCAGATTTGCCAGGAACAGTAATGACGGATGGATGTTGTCATTCCATTCATGCTCGGAAATCTCATTCTCTTCTGCTTGGAAACATCTTGGTGATGCTTGAGATTCCTTCTAGGAGCCCTTATAAGGAATTTCAAGCATCAATTAAGTTTTTTGTATTTTATTTTATTTCAGATAGCGTTTATTTCAAGTAACGGAAATGTTTTTTAATGGTTTTAATTTAATTGTAGTACATTAGAATAATCCTGCAAACTAGTACTGCAGGTACAGTGATGATGATATCATTAATATTGTCTTATTAACTATGTTAGTACACTGTAAATAAATAAAATACATTTTACAGTTACAGTACACATTTCATTACTGAATTTTAAATATCAAGTGCCATAACACAACAGTTATTTCTTTTGATTAATTAATTGTAAGATGATTAAGATGAAACTAAAGGTTTCTTTTTATTATGCACTCTCAATGTGCAAACATGCAAAAATTGTACCTTTAACATCTGCATATTTTTTCTGACAGTGCATGGTTTTTAATTTTATAGTATGTGCTTAATTTCTTCATTGTTTCTATGAGATATGTACACCAGTTTAAGAAATTAAACATTTTGTTCAGCAAGGACACATTAAAAATGACAGTAAAGCCATTTTTAATTAAATATAAAAAAATATTTCTGCTGTTCTTTTGAACTTTATATTCATCAAAGAATCCTGAAAAATAAAATGTATCACAGTTTCCCCCAAAATGTTTCAACATTGATAATAATCAGAAATGTTTCTTGAGCAGCAGATCAGCATATTAGAATGATTTCTGAAGATCATGTGACACTGAAGACTGGAGTAATGATGCTGAAAATTCAGCTGCGCATCACAGAAATACATTACAGTTTAACAGAGATTCACATAGAAAACTGTTATTTTAAATTGTAATAATATTTCACAATATTACAGTAATAATACTCATGAAAAAAAAAGAAACCAATGTGAAACATCACAAATAGACGTTGAGGGAAACAAGAAACATGACAATAGTAGCAATCAATTAATAATTTTAAAGAAATACAACTTAAAGATAAGGTTGTAAATTATTAGAATTTTTATAATCCTTTTTACAATGGATTCACTGCTTCATCGGCATCTTCAAAGAATCTGACATGCTTAATTCACATAATACAAACAGCAACAGCTCTTATATTTACTCCCCATCAGGAGTTTCTGAAGCAGGGCGAGCCGACGTCAGCGCGCTGTGATGAGCTGGAGTCGCTCAAGAAGAGAGGCTGCGACAAGATCGAGAACCCTCACGGGAGCCAAAGGATCCTCAAGAACAAAGCAGTGACCAACCGCAAGAAAGGAGCAGAGAAACTCCGACCCGAGGACATTACACAGATCCAGCCTCAGAAACTCAGCCTCAACCTCAGATCCGGTGCCGACTCACAATCTGAAATCCTTGTTGGTTTTTACTGATCTGTGCAAGTAACTTAAGGAATATTAATGTTTTTTTTTTTTTTGTGAATGAATTGTTATTCCTGTAGGGGAACCTCAGAATATCAAACTGAGGTTCAAGAGGGCAGAGGACTATCCCATAGACCTGTACTACCTGATGGACCTTTCCTACTCCATGAAGGATGACTTGGAGAATGTCAAGAACCTAGGGACAAGTCTGATGAAGGAAATGTCCAAGATCACCTCAGATTTCAGAATAGGTGAGAGTCTAATCAAATCAAAACAAACCCCTCCTGTAGTTTTGCTTGAAACATGGTCTCCGTTATATACTTGTTTTAAACATGTAATAACATTGTAATATATGTGAAGCATATATGTTTAATAAGTTTATAATATCTGTCAAGGATACATTTTATATAAAATGTATGAATGGTAATGTGTTAAAAGGATTTACTTTTGAATATATGCATCTCAAATTACAAATGTCATGTGTCAAACTGCATGTTGATTTTCAATACAGCTTTCCATAAAAATGTCTTTATATATATATATATATATATATATATACGACGGTTCGGTATGTACCTCGGTTTTGACGTCACGGTTCGGTGCCGTTTCGGTACAGCAGGGGGGAAAACTAAACATTTTTTTTCATTAAACAGTGGTTTACTGAACAAATTGCTATTTCTTTAAATAAATTCAGTTATAATTAAATTTTTTTAGGGATAAAAATCTACCTCGGCTTATGCTCTAAACTATAGTGAGCCCTTTTACATTAGGCCTACTATAAGGTTACAGTTAACAACAGAGCCCAAACTTAAATTGAATTACTATTTATTTTTTAAAATAGAACAAGCAACACTCAACTTAAAAAAAATGTATGCAAACATGTAAATTGCACATAATGCAGTTTTTAAACTAACCTCTAAATTATAAAATTTCTAAATGAAATGCAACGTGACGTTTTGTTTACAACCTGTTTTATTGGTGTCTTTCCGCGGTTGAAACACTGATTGAGCGATTACATGAGGCGTGAGATGTTCATTCATGTTTATTTCGCATTAAACTAGTAGTAAAGAGGAAGAGTTGATCGCGCTGCCGCTTGAACTGAGAGGCGTTTATAGAACGATCGGTCGCGCCACATCAAAGAGCGCCAAAACGGCATTTATTGTTTGAATTTCCTGAAAAAATGACATAATTTGAAAGATGAGACTTTGTTTCTTATCAAAAGTAACAATATATAAAACTGGAAGTTTCCAATGAAGTTTTCTTTTTTTGAATGAAAATTTTCGGTATGAATACGTGTGTGTGTGTGTGTGTGTGTGTGTGTGTGTATATATATATATATATATATATATGTATATATGTATATTAAAAGTGTTAGTATTTTCTTGAAGCACCAAGCTTTTATGTTAATATTTTAATAATTTAACAATGCATTCTCATGTTTACGGTTCTCTGATGTTGGTTAATGATCAAATGACATGCAGGAAAACAAGTGTTTATTTTTAAATGATTTATTTACATTATAGGGCAGCTAGATTTGGTAATAAAATATATCATGATTATTTTTGCATATATTATGATTTGAACTGCAATATGATAATACAATTGTTTTTGAATTATTATTATTATTATTATCTTAACTCTAATTATAAACAAAATTAAGTAGGAAATATGCTATTGTAATAATACAAAAATAAAACAATAATATTTGATAATTATAATAGTTTTATTTTACACAACATGTTACAATTCTAAAATCTTCACTTTCAAATGTTAAGCCCTCAAGCTTTTATTTTGGCGGAAAACTGCAGGGAGACCTTTAAGTCTGTGTTTAGTTAGTTAGACAACTATTTCTAAATGCTTCTCATTTCTGATAAAATGAAAACTTGTGAAAACACAGCATAAATAAACACATGTAAGTCTACTTTGACTAATTTTAAAAAATGTTCATGAAACCTGTTTGGGAAACCCTGACTTAGAATATTACTTTTATAACCTGTAATTAAATGATAAAATAAGACCTAATCAAAACTTTCCTCACACTGCCAAATCCATTAGAGACACGAGCAGCCATGCGCTTAAAGCTAAGATGATGCTTTGCTTACCTTCGGATAGGTTTCGGCTCTTTTGTGGAGAAGACGGTGATGCCGTATATCAGCACGACTCCAGCCAAGCTCCTGAACCCCTGCACAGGGGACCAAAACTGCACCAGCCCCTTCAGCTACAAGAACGTGCTGAAACTCACCAGCAACGGGCAGCAGTTCAACAGTCTGGTGGGACAACAGCAGATATCTGGCAACCTGGACTCACCTGAGGGGGGGTTTGATGCCATCATGCAAGTGGCAGTCTGTGGAGTGAGTGAAAAACAACATTACTGATTATTGACTGTGCACTGAGAATATGTGCGGGTCATTCCTGAAATGTGACCCTGGAGCACAAAACCAGACATAAGGGTAAATTTTGTGAAATTGAGATTCATACATCATAAAGCTGAATAAATAAGCTTTCCATTGATGTATGGTTTGTTATGATCGGAAAATATTTGGCCGAGATACAACTATTTGAAAATCTGGAATCTGAGGGTGCAAAAGAATCAAAATATTGAGAAAATCATCTTTAAAGTTGTTCAAATGAAGTTCTTAGCAATGCATATTACTAATCAAAAATTAAGTTTTAATATATTTACGGTAGGAAATTTACAAAATATATTCATGGAACATGATCTTTACTTAATATCCTAATGATTTTTGGCATAAAAGAAAAATCTATAATTTTGACCCATACAATGTATTTTTGGCTATTGCTACAAATATACCCCAGCGACTTAAGACTGCTTTTGTACTCCACGGTCACATATGTGGTGCCTCTTGCCATAAAATGCTGAACAATATGATTTTTAAATCATGCAGATTATTTAACGTTTCCATTTTGCCGGCGATGGCAAACTAGGTGGAATCGTGCTTCCCAATGATGGGAAATGCCACTTAGAAAACAACATGTACACCATGAGCCATTATTACGTGCGTATAAGACATCTCCAGGTGATTTTCAGAGCAGACTATTGGATGTTTGACAGATTCAACAGAGCTTTTCATTTCCTTTCCTGACTAGGATTACCCGTCCATCGCCCACCTGGTTCAGAAACTGAGTGAAAACAACATCCAGACCATCTTTGCAGTTACAGAGGAGTTTCAGCCTGTTTACAAAGTAGGTCCGCAGATGATTACCGTGTGCCTGAGCAGGAACACTTATATTTTTCTCTGTCTGGAGCCGGTAGTTTCTTTCCCTGTGAGAATTTTTTATCTTTCTTGTACTTGACCGGATTGAAGCCAACTTTTGATTTGTAAAAGTTTCCACCTGGCCTGTAGTCTTTTTCCACACTAGTCAAAACTTAGGAAACTTTATAGTGCTTGCTGGATTTAAACAAATCACAAACGCTAAGTATTAAATGTAAGCACATAACATGTTGTTGCTGCATGAATGATTCCTCAATTCATCCCATATGGCAAAAAATATATTTTTAAATATGTTTCAAAATATACAAAACATGGCCAAATAATCTACGTTTGCTAAAATATGTTTCATAATATATTTATGTAAATATGTTTTTTGCCAATATATTATATGTATATATATATATATGAGTATATATGGCCACATTTGATGATAAACTTGATATGATGTCTGTAACGCGCGTGAACATATAACACATTTAAATAAAAATCAACAAGGAACAGACTTTGCAATGTTCCAAAAATACAATATTACAACATTTAAAAATGAAATATTATTAAATCATTATAAATCCATTTTGACCTCTAGTAGGCTTTTCCATCCATATTTGCATTTTGCCTAAATGTAGGCTACTGTAAAACTGGAAATGTATTTTCTTGCACCTGAAATACATTTTAAAATATATTTTGGTATATGAAGGTTTCAGTTTCAAAAATATATTTAATTGAGCTTCACTGTGTGTATATTTAGCATATATTTAAAACTTTTTTTTTTTGCTGTATGAGATGTGGCCTGTTGAGGCGAGATATGCTATTACTTTTCTAAGTGAACAGACTTATAATATTCACCTGCTGAGTGATAAAACAGGCAACAAAATCCCATAGACTTGCATTGAAAGAGCCATAGCTGGAGACTGTGTGTTACAAATGGATGAACTGTAATATGAAATTCCATATCAAATATTTCACCACTGCGAGACTAAAACTCTCAGGCATCTGCACAGTTTGAATCCAGCTTCTCTGTATTTGGAAAGCCACAAGCCCAAGATAGTTTCCCAGCTTGGAATGATCCGAACGCCAAGGTCATAATTTAGAGTTCCTGCCTACAGTTTAACAGGACTGTTGTAAAACAAACACCCTGCGTCCCTGTGCTGGAGATCCATGAATCATATGTTTTTTTCTCTCGTTCCACAGGAACTTAAAAACCTGATCCCAAAGTCTGCAGTCGGGACGCTTTCAGCAAACTCCAGCAATGTTATCAATCTTATTGTTGATGCCTACAACGTGAGCCGATGAAGTTTCTTTAGAAATATCTGCCGTCTTTAAAGGAACTGGGCTGATTTCTGTTTTCTCTCAGTCTCTTTCTTCAGAGGTGATCCTTGAGAACAGCAAGCTTCCTGAAGGAGTGACCATCACCTATCAGTCGCGCTGTAAGAACGGAGTGGTGAATGAGGGAGAGAACGGAAGAAAGTGCTCTAACATCTCCATCGGAGACGAGGTGAAGCCACATCAACACAAAGCAATATGCATCATCCGTCGCGTCATCCACAGCAGAAACCGCTAGCCTGTTGTTTTCTATTTCCTATGCATTCCCAGGTATCATTCAACATTAATATCACGGCTCAAGGCTGCCCCAAACAAGGCAAACCTGAAAGCATTAAGATCAAGCCCCTGGGCTTCACTGAGGAGGTGGAGATCTTGCTCAACTTCATCTGCGAGTGTGAATGTCACAAGCACGGCATCAAGAACAGTGACATGTGTCATAACGGCAACGGCACGTTTGAGTGTGGAGCCTGCAGGTGAGACTGTCCTCACATAACAGTCCTGCGTTTGCTTATATAAATGCATGTCTTTGTTTAATTGCTAAATAACGTGTTAAAATTAATGCAGTTAACGCACCTGCCCTGCCCCTTACATACGTCATCTTACATCTCAATAAGGTGTGTTCAACTTGAAGCAGCGCTGCGCAGATCAATCAGTGTTTGACATCAAAGGACCGCGAGAGCGATACTTTGATTCGCAGTCCTTTGATGCCCCTGTATGAGTTTTTGTCTCATATTTATATCATATGATATAGTTAAGCAATATCAGCACGAGTGCAAATGTGATTTTATACAACAGTATAATAAATGAGAACTTAATATTGTGTTATTTTATGCACAATATTGACTTTTTTTGCTCAGTTTTGCCCACGCAAATATTAACTATAAAGCCACAGCAGAACTATTGTGCGTTTCTGAGCAACACACAATGTCTGACCTGTGTTTTGAATTAATCAGGTGAACCATCGATTCAATGGCCCTTTCATAACGAGAGCCATTTACTTCATTCCTGAATGAATCAACCGTTTGTTTGAATTAATGAATGAATGGTTGTTATTTTATTATTATTAAAGGGATAGTTCACCCAAAAATGAAAAAAGAAAAAGAAAAATGTCGGTAAATTTTGGTATCTATTTCATGCTTTTCTAACACAATAATGGCTTTAAATGATCTTTCCTGGGTATGATCTTTCTCAGCCCAATTTAATGTGCCGATTAACTAGATGCAATTTAACTAGAGCAATTTAATATGCAATTAACTAGATTAATTGCCACATTGTGTAATTAATTAGATTCAAATTTGTAATCAATTGAGCCCTGATATACATATATATATATATATATATATATATAGTGCTGGTTAAATTACTTACAAATTGTTCCGTATTGATATAAAAAAAGCAAAGAGAAAGAAAATATATTCATTTTTTTATATCAACATCAAAATCATATGCAATATCATAATACCAAAATGTACTGTATTACATTAAAAAAAATCTAGAATGCAATGATTTATCTAAATCAGCATACATTAAAGACAATATAATGTCAATGAAAACAATGTGACAATGCAAAACAAAAATATTTTTTTACTTTATTTAGAATTTTGTTTTTATTGATTTTAGGGTTAAATATAATGCTGAATCTTTAATGTAAATAATCTTTGTCAAAAAACTATTGGTATGTGAACTATTGTTACACTGAATGACAGTTTATGTGCTTGTCTTCTGCAAATCATGGTACAAATGTATGATAGTCATTTTGCTCAGAATTTGTTTTTTTAAACAGGACACATTCTAATGCAGAGAAGAAGAAAAAGATCTGTATTAAACTTGAATTCATGTTCGTAAGGGAGAGAGTTTATATGTGAGTAAATGTGAGCTGTGTACTCTCAGGTGCAATTAATTAAACGGGACATTCTAATGCACGGGAAAAAATAAAGCTGTATTAAACTCATCATTGTTTTGATGCTTGAAAACCCCATAAACCTGTAAGCGAGAGACTTTATGTGAGTAAATGTGAGCTACTCTGCGTCCTCTCAGGTGCAATAAGGGACGTGTGGGCAGGCAGTGTGAATGTCGAAAAGACGAGGTGTCCACCGAAGACCTGGACAAGAACTGCCGCAAGGACAACGGCACGGACATCTGCAGCAATAACGGCGAGTGCGTGTGTGGCACCTGCGAGTGCAAGAAGAGGGACAATCCTGAAGAGCGCTACAGCGGCAAATTCTGCGAGTGTGACAACTTCAACTGCGACCGCTCCAATAATAAACTCTGCGGAGGTACTGGAACAGTTTTACACCATGCATGTTACCAATGCATCACTCAACAGGCCATTAATAGAGGAAGACAGCAGACGGTTTATAATCAGCAGATGAAGGTTGTTAATGTGATGTTTTTCCTGCAGGACACGGCCGCTGTGAGTGCAGGGTGTGTATCTGTGATGCTAACTACACGGGAAGTGCGTGCGACTGCTCTCTCGACACCTCCACCTGCTTAGCCTCCAACAAGCAGATCTGTAACGGCAGAGGGAACTGTGAGTGTGGGACCTGCAGGTGCACCGACCCCAAGTTCCAGGGGCCCACCTGTGAGATCTGCCCCACCTGCCCCGGAGTCTGTACTGAGCACAAGTCAGTGGAAAACATGCACACATCTGTGTACACAATATATGACATATTAAACTGCACTGAGTACATGCACAGGTTTTTTTTTTTTTTTTTTTCAAATATATGCTAAATGTGGTTCCTGTGGCTCAGTGGTAGAGCATTGCGTTAGCAGTGCAAAAGGTCATGGGTTCAACTCCCAGGGAACACACATACTGGTAAAAAGAAATGTATAGCCTGAATGCACTGTAAGTCGCTTTGGATAAAAGCGTCTGCTGAATGCATAAATGTATGGTGTAAACAGCACAGCTTAAGAAATACATTTTTCAAATTTAAAATTGATATATATTTTTGTTTAAACCTTCAAATGCCAAAATATATTAGAAAATGTACTTCAAGAGATAAGAAAATACATTCCCAATCTTAAAATACATTTTGCAAAATGTGTTTTTTTTTATTTATGTTGGACAATATATATTTACATTGAAAATATATTTTTAAAAATTCTAAGGAATTATAAGTAAGAAAGTAAGAAAACGTCAAAAATGTATTTATTGCATACATTTAAGACAATACAATGTCTTGTTATTGTCAAATACAATGAATATAATGTCCCAATGCAAAAAATAAAAATAAAATAACTAATTAAAAATACCGTTTCATATTTCATTTATGATTAGGGTTATATTTGACACTTAAATATTGTTTGATTTAAATAAAAATGTATCTGTTTGTATGGATGGATGGATGGATGGATGGATGGATAGATAGATAGATAGATAGATAGATACGTAAAAGCGTGACACTACTTGTCAAAGTTTGGAATAATTAAGATTTTTTCAAATGAAAAAATATATTAATATACACTACTAGTCAAAATTTAGGAATAATAACTTTTTTTTTCTTTTTTTGAATGTTGTTGAAAGAAGTCGCTTCTGCTTACCAAGGCTTCATTTATTTGATCAAAAATACAGTAAAAACTGTAATATTGTGAAATAATTTTACAATTTAATTTAAGTGCTTTCCATGTGAATATGTGTTAAACTGTAATTTATTTCTGTGATACGCAGCTGTATTTTCAGCATCATTACTCCAGTCTTCAGTGTCACATGATCTTCAGAAATCATTCTAATATGCTGATTTGCTGCTCAACAAACATTTCTGATTATTATCAACAGAGAAGAGATCAGACGTGTGCCGTTCCCTCTTCAGCGCAGCATTTGCTCATCCTGTGTTAGATTTTACTGTGTTGTATCATTAAATAACGTATTTACACACAAATGTTCAATGTAGTAACAGCCTTAATAAAAACAATAAAACACAAAGTTCAAAAGCTTGGGTTTGGTAAGAGTCTCTTCTGCTCATCAAGGCTGCATTTATTTGATCAAAAATACAGTAAAAACTGTAATATTGTGAAATAATTTTACAATTTAATTTAAGTGCTTTCCATGTGAATATGTGTTAAACTGTAATTTATTTCTGTGATACGCAGCTGTATAGCAAGCATCATTACTCCAGTCTTCAGTGTCACATGATCTTCAGAAATCATTCTAATATGCTGATTTGCTGCTCAACAAACATTTCTGATTATTATCAATGTTGAAAACAGTTGTGTTGCACGATATTTTAGTAGAAAGAAAGAAAGAAAGAAAAGGAAATTGATACTTTTCATCACAGGAATCACAGCAATAAATTACATTTTATAATACATTCACATAGAAAACAGCTATTTTCAATTGTAATAATATTTCACCATATTACAGTTTTTACTGTATTTTTGATCAAATAAATGCAGCCTTGGTGAGCAGAAGAGACTTCTTTCAACAACAAAGAAAAGTTATTTTTCCAAACTTTTGACTGGTAGTGCATATTAATTTATTTTAACATCTATTTTAGTGCTATATAGTGATGTTTTGGCCATTTTTTGAATATTTTTAAATGTTTTTTTATATATATATATATGTTTTTATTTCAGCCCTGTTTCTTTGCAGAATTTGTAAGCAATGCATTATTACCATTTATATATCTTTGCCTTTTTGCTGTGTGGAAAAAAAAAAGCCATCCTAAGTAGGTTTCACAATGCACACTGACTAAACATGTTACCGGCTCTTCCTGTCTCAGGGAGTGTGTGCAGTGCCGGGCGTTTGGCACAGGAGAGAAGAAAGACACGTGTGAGAGAGACTGTAGCTACTTTAACCTCATCAAGGTGAAGGACAGAGATAAACTCCCTCAGCCGGTGCAGGCCTTCCCCCTCATGCACTGCAAGGAGAGAGACGCCAACGACTGCTGGTTCTACTACACCTACGCCGTCAACAACACGGAGAAGGAGGTGCATGTGGTGGATGCTTTAGGTGAGGCTTCGAATTAAAACAAAGAAGAGCCATGGTTTAAATACATGTTCCTTCAGTAGCATGAGTGTTTGTATGCTTTGGCAGAGTGTCCGGCGGGTCCTGACATCATTCCCATCGTAGCGGGCGTGGTCACAGGCATCGTTCTGATTGGTCTAGCTCTGCTACTGATCTGGAAGCTGCTCATGATCATTCACGACCGCCGCGAGTTCGCCAAGTTTGAGAAGGAGAAGATGAACGCCAAGTGGGACACGGTATGCCCGAAAAAAAACGCTTTTAAAACAGGATCAAGAAATGTTTTATTTGAGCTTGTGCTTTAAAACTTTAAGCTTTTGTTTTTAGTCTTTCCAAAATTCCAAGATTGTTTCGTCAGAAGTGTCGTTTTCGTCATTATGAGCGCTCCGTTTTAGGAGAGCCGTCTGGATTGTAGGGCAGCTGTGGAACTAAAGGAAAGGCTTCTGGATTTTCAGGGCCTGGTTTTTCTGGGTGTGTCGCGGGCAGCTGCGGTCGGTCAGGATGATGCTCTGCTGCCCTCTGCTGGCTCACTTTCTGAGCACATGCATCACCCTTGTGAAAAAGAAGTGTGCTTAATTGTACTCAATGTGCACTTGTAGTGTACTTCGGATCTCAAAAGTATATTTACTTGTACTTGCAGATAATATAATTTTAATGAAATAAAAGGCCAGATAGAGACACTTTCATGACTGTTTAACACACTTAAGTACACTTTTTAAAAGTGCACTTAGTAATATTGTTAAATAATGCACATTTTAAATCATTGTTTTAATAATCTTATCATGCTTTAAAGAAATACGCTTGATTTTAAAGAAGTACACTTATTTTGATGTGTTGACTAGACTAGAGCATGTAAAGTGCTTGATTATAATTTTAACTGTAGTGTTATTCAACATTACATTTAAAGTTAATTTATATTAAATGTACCAAATTACGACTGTGTAATTACACATATATTTAAATACATGACATACATGTTTCAATAGAAATGACATTAAAGTATTTTAGTTTACCATTAATGTTTGTGCACGTTAACCATATTTCAAAGACAGTAGAAATAATTATGAAATTACATATAAAGATGTACTCTTAAGTTCAGCTAATAATACATTACTATAATACATTTTCATAATTGCAAATAACATTTGCAATTAAGTGTCTAAAAAAATGTTACATTCAGTTTAGTATATTTATTTAGTATTTAGTATATATATATTTCTTTTTCACAAGGGCATTCTTAAACAAGCACAGGTCAAAATCTGCTGATTCACAGGAAATGTGGTGTGACAGTATTTTAAAGCTGTAACAAGGTACTTATTCAGCTGTGTAACAGGTACATGAAACCTAAGTAGGATGTGTTTAGAGCAGAAAGAGCAACTTTATCAAAAAGTCTTTATAACCAGTGTGATTTACTTAAATAAATGTTATTTATTCTAATTTCTAAGATTCACAAAATTGTTAATTTCAGAATTAGCAAGCTAATCAAAGTGAAATTGGACTTAAATACAAGGTTTTTAGTGGCAACTGATGGGATAAAAGACTCCATGAGTTTAACCTTGTTTTATACAAGTTTTTTTGTTTGTTTGTTTTTTTGCGTCTTCATTTATACTTCATATGCATGCTTTGCCTCCTTTTCCCTTCATGCTCATGAAATCTTCTTTCTATCTCTCTATGATCTCCATCCTTTGTATTCTCCATTTGTTGCCCATGATTTCAGCTCTTCTGTTGCTTCATCTGTGGTTGATATGTTGTCTGTCCCTGTCCACTCTCAGACAGAGAATCCAATTTACAAGAGCCCTATTAATAAATTCAAGAACCCAAACTATGGACGTAAAGCTGTGGCTCTATAAGTTTGTATACCTCTCCTCTTTATGCATGGCTTTTTTCTGTGTGTGTGTGTGTGTGTGATGTGTGTACAGGTTTATATATTCTGGTGGGGACTTAAACCTGAATACACACAGACTCATGGGGACTCGTGTCACGGTGGGGACCTAAATTGTGGTCCCCACGGGTACAAAAGCTTATAAATCATACAGAATGAAGTTTTTTGAAAATCTAAAAATTCAGAAAGTTTCCTGTGAGGGGTAGGTTTAGGCGCAGGGTTGGTGTAGGACAATAGAATATAAGGTCTGTACAGTAGAAAAACCATTACGCCTATGGAGAGTCCCCAAAAGGATAGCTGACCAGACATGTGTGTGTCTGTGTCAGTGTCAGTGTCAGTGTCAGTGTGAGTGTGAGTGTGAGTCAGTGTCAGTGTCAGTGTCAGTGTGAGTCTCAGTGTGAGTGTCAGTGTCAGTGTGGGTGTGAGTCTGTGTGAGTGTCAGTGTCAGTGTCAGTGTCAGTTTGAGTGAGTGTCAGTGTCAGTGTGAGTGTCAGTGTCTGTGTGAGTGTGAGTGTCAGTGTCAGTGTCAGTGTGAGTGTGAGTCTGTGTGAGTGTCAGTGTGAGTCTGTGTGAGTGTCAGTGTCAGTCTGTGTGAGTGTCAGTGTCAGTGTCAGTGCGTGCGTGCGTGCGAGTGTGTGTGTGTTTCTGTACCTGATTTTATTTTTCCATCCGTGACGCATCAACTGATATATTTATAAAGTGTTTAAGGTATAAATCACTGATTGACTACAGCATGAGCATCTTAATGAGCGTTTGACTTAAACATTTATTTTTCTTCACTGGATATTAATATGTTCATCAGAATTCTGTTAATATATATGAGTGATATAGCTGCATGTGTAGTTTTTTTATTTTTACCTTTTTAATTCAAGGTTTATTGCACTTTCTTGGGGTGTAAATGCATTTAGATGACATGTTGAAGTTGAATTGTGCTGTATATTTGTTTCTTATTTTTAAAAATCTGATTTTTGTGTGTTTCACAGGGAGAGAACCCCATCTACAAGAGTGCCGTCACAACTGTGATCAACCCCAAATATGAAGGCAAATAATGGACGTGGGTATTACACGTGAATGTTTGGGAAGGGATAGGTTTGCAGATATCCTCAGTTTTCCTTTAAATTGTTTATTTTCTCATTGTATGTCATTCTTTTAGAACAGTATTGCAGGTCTGTAGCAGTATTTTATGACAGACTGGCTGCTTCTCATCCCTTGCAAACGTGTACAGTTTGTATAGTCTTTTTATTTACATCAGTTGTTCTTCTTTTAAACCCTGTGTACATTCACACATTCTCTCTTTTCAAACAGAACAGACATTTGTGCCTTTGCATCAAGTGTTTCACTTTAAGATACGGTGCAAAGGGATCCTTGAATCCCACCCAAAAATTGCAAAAACTCATCAAATGTCATTTAAAATCATTATATGAATTTTTGTTTATATTCTATCATGTTCTTTCTGCATTCAGACTTCTTCGTCAGTCATATGTTGGCATAAGAAATTATCTGACCAGTGTATATGCAATTTTTTTTTTTTGCGCTAATGTAAGTTTGGTTTGATATGCTAATAATCTATGCATATTTGTTTACTGTTGGACGCATCCAAAAACCTCTTCTTTAGCGTTTGCAACTTATTTCTCACTTATTGTTGCTCTTAGAAAACCATTATGGCACGTGTCTTGTGTTCAGCTGAAAATATCTGTGTATTTTATATGTTATGAAGGATTATTTGTTGATGCTATAAAAGTTATACATCAGAGATAGACAATAGGGGTGCCGACATTTGAAAAAATGAGATAATATAATAAAAAAAAAAAAAAAAAAAGGAAGTGTAATATTTGAACAGTTGCGTATTTGACGTCAAAGATAAAGCTCTTTGTTGATAAGACAATTATCTGGAGAAAATGAAGAATTAGAGTGTAGTTTTGTGTTCAAATGTTGATATGCTCAAAGGTACAACAACCCTTTATTTTTAATTATTTTATTGGAACGTAATCAGCAGGTTCGGTCATTTAAATCTACAGGAATGCTTGACAAAATAATAAATATCAAGCTGAAGGATGATAAACAGATGACCTGCCACAACACCCAATCTACTAGCTCTTTTCTAAGTGCCTTTTTCTGGTTTTCTCAATATTGCAATTTTGAATTTATTTATTAAAACAAAATCTAAAAGACTGTGATCATGTCTTTCTTTCAAACGTAATAAACAAAAATATTTATGTTAGCATTTTTTTTAGGGTTACTGATACACATGCTTTTAACAATATGAAGAATCATAATATTTGTGACATGTTTAAATAAACCAATACCTTTGTGAATTAAAATGTTACTTAACTGCTATTATGGTTTTTATTATTATTATTATTATTGCTTGTCTAATATAACTTCAGAATAGCATACTATACCGTTTTTGCTATATGAAAGCTGTGCTTAGTTAATTTTTGTATAAGAACAGAATAGCAGGATGACCTACAAGATGTAATAAAATTATAACTTAACTCTATATACACAACATTATTTCCCACATGTGCTCAGCTTTGCATTTCCAGTGTTATGAATGGACCTGAAGAAATATCAGCTGAAAATATCAATTTCATCTCTTTCAAAAAGTTGACATTTTTTATTACAGTATTCATATTAATTCCTGAGATGATCACTCGAACAAAACAATGTAGCAAATTATCGTTCCATACTGTATGTCGTTTTACATATAAATACTTGTATATTAAAGTAGTATATATATATATATATATAAGTACTCCATTCTGAGCGTAAATGAAGTGCTGAAACAGACATTGACCAACAGAGGGCAGCAGCAGATTATCATCCATCTGAGTTCATTCATAATTCACTAGATTATGACCACAGAACAGTGATTGACAGCTACATCCACAACACACACTAAATTGTGTTTCAGGCTGTGTCCTCTATTCATTTACAGATAAAATTGTGCTGGGAAGCAATTTCACAAGACCAGCCCAATGTCGTCACGATGGAAACCACAAAACAGGGAACTGATTAGCTTTATATTAGATACAGCCTTTTACTAATTGCACTAATCTTTAATGAGCAAGCACTGGCATGTCAGCAAGTTACTTTTTAATATATAAACGGATTGGTTGTTTGTTTTTTCCTACCCATGCAAGCAAAATGAATTTTTGTGCATTCAGCTGATGGCACACTCATGTCCCTGCTGAAAAAAAAAAGAAAAAGAAAAAACTAAAACCAGCCTAAGATGGTTGGCTGGTTTTAGCTGGTCATCCAGCCTGGTCATAGCTGGTTTAGCAGGCTGGTTTTAGAGGGGTTTTGGCCACTTCCTTAGCTGGTCAGGCTGAGAGACCTGCTGAAACAACCAGCTAAAACCAGCTTGACCAGCCGAGTTAGGCTGGGAGACCAGCTACTTGCATCTTAAACTAGCTAAGACCAGCCAACCAGCTTAGGCTGGTTTTAGCTGTATGTTTTGGGGGGTTTTTCAGCAGGGGTGTAGAGGACAAGAGCCTCAAATGACTCAGCTGCAACAACAACCACATATTTACCATCCATCTCACTGATGAGTAACTGATTTCATCTTTGCCATTTCATGATCCATTTGTTTGTACAGTAGTGATTTATATACTAACAATTGAAATAAGTGATGATTATGGTAATCATGAGGGTAATGCACGTCTGGCTCAAGATGTTCTTGGGTTCAGCTGTTGATGGTTCTTACTATAAAGTGACCAGATTTCTGAAATCAAAACTAGTTGAGTGGTCAAAATATCATTGAAATCTCACTTGTGATTATCTACAAATTAAAAAACGGGGACAATATATTTGTCTATGTTTTTGTTTTTTAACTGTTGTGGTTTCCATATATTAATATCATAATTAATAGTTACAATGACGTTTAAGGATCAAACTTACCCTAGTTCATTGATAGTGATTAAAAAAATAAAAATAAACACTATGAAAAGTGAATAAGTAACTATTGCAAATAGTAAACAGATCAAAATAGGATTATAGGATTATAACAAAATGACTTTACAAAAACAGATTAAAAATAAAACAACACATATGAGAACATATAAGTAAAACTGTATTTAACATTTTCACAAACTGTGAGTATAAAGTAATTACAACTTTTCAAATGATCAAAAGTTGTTTTATGTTTATGTTTTTGGAAATTGATCTTTACTATCCCTAATCAGGCTTATTATTTTGCATTTCAGGCTCATTGTGACCACAAAGTATGTGCTTTCTGCAAATGTAATTGTGCAAGTGTAATTGTTTAGTTTGTTATTTTTTATATTATTCATATCGGAGTTGTGATGGCAGAAGTTTCAGGAGTGTTTAATACTGTGTGCAAAACAATCCCACAACCGTATCATGCCTTGTTATAAAGTGCACACAAACAGTATTACTTTGTTTTAACATGTATAGTTAGTATGTGACTGCCTTGAAACCAATAACGGCGTCTCTTTTGATAATTGATGATAATAGCGCTCTGCTCTCATGCAAGTTCTTTATGGTGAAAGTAATCGTTGTTTTCAACGCGCTGTTAAAACAGAGACATTTCCGAGGACAGCTCCAGTCGGGGACAGGACACCTAAAACCGGGGAAAACGGGGACGCCTGGTCACCCTATCTTACTAAGGATTTAGTTAGAAGGAAAAAATCCATAAGTGTCATTAAGCTCATTGGTGTGAACAAGCAAGAGTTTGGATCATTCTAAAGATACATCTCATTCAACTATAGCTAATCTCTCAAAGAAGTGCAAAGGAAGTCCTAACTGCCATCTGTCTGGAAGCGGTTTTCTTCCGCATGGATAAAGTTACTATTCACTGCACTACTTCGACCAAAGGAACATTCCTTTGTTTGCATATGTGTTACACTAGTCACTTTCCCAATTCTTCATAGATGCAAAACAAATGAAAGAAAACATTTAATTTTAAATAAGTAGCCCTTTATTGAGTGTTTTTTAGCAGCAACATATTGCTTTCACAAAATGAAACCTTTACAAATCTCACGTAATCCTTGACGAACGTTATCTGGGATATCAAATAAAAGACTTTATAATACTTTCAGATCATTTTGAGATTGTCAGTAATGCCCTTTAAAGTGCAAATGCCCATATTTTCCTGGTTATTTTGAACGAAGTCGGTCTCTTGAAATCAGATATCAGTTTTCTTATGTAATTAAATGAATAGTTCACCCAAAAAGAATCTTATTCACCATGTTTAACTTACTTTCTTCTGTGGAGAAAGCAAGTAGTATATTATTAAAAGTTTTACAGTTTTACATTTAACCATGTAATGGACGGACACTGGACGTAGACAACCAGCTTTAGAACTTTTGTAGAAAACACAACATAAATCAACCCAAATAAACATAGTTCAGACACTTAGGAAACACAAGCTTACTAGTGACGTACAGTGACAATAATGCATCTTTTTCATGTGATAAATATTATGCTATATGTCATGTAGTTTTTTTAATTACAAGAGCATGGTACAGCTCTGCAAGAAGCAACATTACACACCAGATGTGTCTCAAAACCTAACTGCCTTTGACATGCAACTGTCAAAAATGTGAGTGTTGCATCAGTCTGATGTGCAAAGCACTATTTGCATGACACATGTAACTGTTACTGATGTTATTGGCTATAAATACCATCTTAAATCAGTTACAAGGTCAGGCTTAAGATGCTGTTTATTTGTCCATTAATGTCAAATCTCACTCCTGTAGGGCCTCCATCCTGCAGTTTAGTTCCAACTTGCTCCAGCACACCTGTCCAGAACTCCCTAGTAATCCTGAAGACTTTATTAGATGGTTCAGGTGAGTTTAATTAGGTTTACAGCTAGACTCTGCAGGAAGATGGCCTTTTATGAGCAGGGTTTAACACCACTGACTTGCCATAGAATTGCAGTATACAGCAATTCGACTCACTAGGTCAGAGCTGTACAATCCTGTTTCTGGAGGGCTACATTTCAGCAGAGTATAGCTCCAACCCAAATTAAACATCTGAACAAGTTAATCAACGCCTTTGGGATCACTAGAAACTTCTGGGCAGGTGTGTTGTACAGGACAGTGGTCCTCCAGGAGCAGAGTTTCACACCCAAGCCCAAAGTATACTTAGGCCATCCACACACTGTCCTCGTGATGCAATTTTTGTCATCAGAAGTGTCCAAGGATGTCCGTGCAGTCACAAAAATTGGGCTGTACGCGGATGGTCTGCGTACAACAGTGTAGGCACAAGGTGAATCTTGAGACAGATCGAGTCAAGTAGGTGGTACTGTGCATGTGCCGAGCTCGTCCATTCGTGGTTGAGTATACTTTGAAAGCTGTGTGGCAGTGTGCGAGACGGAACGGAACATGGAAAGTGAAGTATACCTGTGGGGGCGTATTACAGAAAGATCCTAACTTTAAAAGCTTATCTTATCTGTTTGGTAACCATGGTAATTTCAGTTAGGACCACATTTAGGACAAAAGCTATTACAGAACAGCGTATCCTAAGTGTGTTATCTTATCTTAACTACAGATAGGAAGGGGGTATTACAGAAATCCTAATCCTAAAATCCGTCTTAACTTTAGGACAACCCCACAGCTGTCCAAACTTCAAAATTATTTGAAAGCTAACGGAAAAACCGCTTATAGTTGCGCTGTCCAACAATGGTATTACATTTATTAATAAATGAAAATGAAGAACAGATATGTAGAAAGACTCTTGGAGGACCCTGAAGATGTGTTACATTTTGATGACAAAACACTTATAAGTAATTACAGACTGCCGCGCAACATGATATTACAGTTAGCACAGGAACTGCAACCAGCATTACAGAGACCAACAAAGTGTCACAGAGCATTACCGGTTATAGTGCAAGTGACTAAAGTCTTACACACCATGTCTACACTGGACGGCGCGACAAAATACTATAGAACTCATTATAATCAGTGATGCTGCCTACACTGGCTGCGGCGCGACACGACAAATCCCCGACAGTAAACTGCTGCTGCATTCTATTTATGACGTGCTGACACAAATTTCAAATGATTTTGAACGGTCGCTTTGTTGCGTCCAGTGTAGACAGACTTTAGCTGTTGCGGCGCGGCGCGACACGACAACTGTCGCGTCTGGTGTAGACACGGTGTTACGTTTTTTTGCAAAAGGTGATTTTCAAAGTGAAGTAGCTTCTATTATTTTGTTTACCTCATCAGCATCTCGCACAGTGTTGGTTGCTTAGTAACAGACCTGAGAGTGGATTGTCCAGCTTGATAATGCAATTTAAGATTTCCTAACTAGAGATTTTGTAAGATAGGATAAGAATCCCAAATCAAGTTAAGATTTGCTTTTGTAATACGAATTTCTGAAAAATCCTAATTTAACATATCACATCTTAAGTTAAGACCTAAGATAGGAAACTTTCTGTAATACGCCCCCTGGGCCTTAAGTTGCCCCAGAGTTTCAGTAGGCAGGAGACCAGTGTTTCCCAAGCCTGTTCGTGGAGACACAGTATAACTCTTCCTAATCAAACAGATCTGATTCAGCTTATCAGCTCGTTAGTAGAGACTCCTAGACCTGAAATGGATGGGTCAGTTAAAGGAGACATCCAAAATGCAAACCAGTCTCATAAAAATACGTACCTCTGCGTACATTTCTGCAACACCGTTTTTACGTACTTTGCAGTGATATGTACTTATTGGTACGTATTTCGCGTCTTGCAAAAATGTGCCCCCAGGTACGTATTTGCCATGAGACCGGGTAGCCAAAATGTGTACTGTTGGTGTGCCTCCAGGAACAAGGTAGGGAAACACTGCAGTAGACAGCAAGTCAACTCACTAGGTCAGGGGTTTCCAGTCCTGCTCCTGGAGGGCCACCTTCCAGCAGACTTTAGCTCCAACCTGAATTAAACACATCTGAACAAGCTTATCGAGGTCTTTAGTATTAATTCCTAGCAGGTGTGTTGGAGCTAAACTCTGCAGAACAGTGGTCCTCCAGGAGTATGGTTTGATACCCCTGAGTTGCCCCAGAGTTTCAGTAGGTATATGTACTTATTGGTACGTATTTCGCGTCTTGCAAAAATGTGCCCCCAGGTACGTATTTGCCATGAGACCGGGTAGCCAAAATGTGTACTGTTGGTGTGCCTCCAGGAACAAGGTAGGGAAACACTGCAGTAGACAGCAAGTCAACTCACTAGGTCAGGGGTTTCCAGTCCTGCTCCTGAAGGGCCACCTTCCAGCAGACTTTAGCTCCAACCTGAATTAAACACATCTGAACATGTCCAGGTACTGCAGGCCGATCTGCTGTCCATGTAGAGGTGTGAGCTGTAGAGACGCCTCCTCTGTCAGGCTGATACAGGTCACTTTAAGGCAGCCTTAGGGAAAGGGTGGGGATATTATCATTATTATAGTTTATGACTAGAAAAGTACAGTTCATAAGGACAAACTGTGAATATCTGGTTAAGTCTGACCCCACGCATCACCGTTACCGGGTTCAAAAACTCTATGAGATCCAAAAAGCAAACAACAAAGGGTGCAAAGGTATAAACAAAGGTATAAAGTATTCTCAACTGGAATGGACTAGAGTCTTGGACCCTGAAAGAGTATTCACTGTGTCACGACTTAAAGGAACACTCCACTATTTTTGAAAATAGGCTCATTTTCCAACTCCCCTAGATTTAAACAGTTGAGTTTTACCGTTTTAGAATCCATTCAGCCGATCTCCGGGTCAAGTTTTTAAGAGTCAAGAGTCAAGTTTCAAATAGGTTTTTTAATTTTTTTTTTTTTTTTTAAATTGTCATTTTTGAGCGAGATGCTAACGGTCTAATCAGATTCAATGATCTATGCTAAGCTACAGCTAAAAGTGCTACCGCCAGACCCGGAGATTGGCTGAATGGATTCGAAAACGGTAAAACTCAACTGTTTAACTCTAGGGGAGTTGGAAAATGAGCCTATTTTCAAAAATAGTGGAGTGTTCCTTTAACAAGTGGATTGACTTGACAAAGCCTTGCTTGACAATTAAAATAGGTTTAAATAAAGTACTAATGTAACGAAAGAAGCGAAAGATCTTTTCTTCCATATTATGATATACTGTACATTCGAGTGAAACAGAATATCGAAAAATTTTAAATGTAGGGTGGGGACATGGTTCTGTCCATCAGTTGTTGATTGGAGATCTCAATGCAATTTTGTAGGCTGAATAACTGTACAGTGTGTGACTCGTACAATGAACTCAGCAGACAGACTCTTACTCTTTGGTTGAGGTTAGCAGTCCATCTTTCAAAATCGAGCAGACCTCACCTTCCCCCAGAAAAAGACTGAAAGACTGGCAGCGATTCCTAGAGCTCATAATGTTTTCCCAGCCTTCCCAGAAAAACTTCACCACTTTGAATTACTCCCTGAATAAATCCACAACCAAACATGGTATTCTGATGCTTAATGGCAGCTAATTCATCACAAGAGCTCTTGAAAATTATCAAGACGTAACATGTTTTACTCGTTGACCAGGTAATGGATGTGCCATGCCAATACATACATTTGCAGTCCACCTGTGGCACAATTCAAAATAGAAGTTTGAAAATCTTAAAAATCTCTACAACAATGCATGGTATAGTGGTAAATAATATCTCACCTCAAGAAGTATGAGATTTATAAAAAAATAAATAAATATGTATTGCAATTGGATGAATCTCATAAAGAAATCTTCAGAGGTCATATTTCACCCCAAAATCAAAAGACGAAAACAAATATAATTTGCATTAAGTTCCATGGATTTTTTGTTTGTTTGTTTGCTTGCACTGTGCCATTTTTCATTTCAGTTTTTACCTGAATTCTCATTACCGTAATGTAAATTCCCATAACCCAAAATTGAAACTAAAATAGGCTTCATTTTTTTCAATTTCTAAATTTCTCTTTTCAATTGGAGTGAAATATTTTCTTTTATCACATGTTCTTGGCGGGTTTCATGAGATTCACCCCAACACCTAAAGACAATAAAAAATATAAAATTGCATTAAAGGTGTCATGAACTGCCTTTTTTTATTATTTTGTACTGTTCTCTGAGGTCCACTTATAACATTATGAAGATTTTTACGTAAAAAAACATAATTCAGAAGTATTAGGCTATTTTCTGTCCTGTTTTGCTCCTCTCATCAGAATGCACTGTTTGACTAGATGTGGCGGATTGTAGACTCAGAAGTAAACACCACTGCTGTGATTGGCTAACAGTTGTGTATGTTTGACAGCCTACCGCCTTCATAGATGGATGCTGCTGTGATTTAGGATTAAAAACGCATAAATATACAGTACATATAAAATGATCTGTAATAACAGACAAAGCAATAGTGATCACGTAATAAAAATAGTTACTCGCACTTGTGTGGTGCGACATTACTGTCAGATCCAATATAGTCGCACAGCATCGTCTTTTAGTTTCAGTCTTTCTGAAAATCCTGCTTTACAAATCTTGTTTGTAAATGAATCCACAGTAAAATGAAGTGAACAAAAGACCAAGTTCTTACTGACAAGGTCTGGATCTTCATTAAAAATAAAGTTCATCCACTCTTTCCTAATGTTGAGATCAGAAAGAACGTCATAGAAAGACACAACTTTTTTTCACAACTTGGCATGAACACATCTTGTTGTCTTCTGAGCATCTTTATCGTTTGGTTTCTGCGTAGACCAGCGTTTGCCTCTCTCGTTATTTGCACGACATGCGTGAATCGGTGGGTGGGGCTAACCAGACAGTGATGTAGAATCTGTGGGCGGAGCTAAACAGAGAGTGATGTAGAATCGGTGGGCGGGGCTAAACAGGCAGTGATGTGGAATCGGTGGGTGGGGCTAAACAGGCAGTGGTGTAGAATCTGTGGGCGGAGCTAAACAGAGAGTGATGTAGAATCGGTGGGCGGGGCTAAACAGGCAGTGATGTGGAATCGGTGGGTGGGGCTAAACAGGCAGTTTTGATTTCTGCTTAGACCTGCATTTGCCTCTCTCATTATTTACTAATGTGTGAATCGTGGGCGGGGCTAAACAGGCAGTGATGTGGAAGCAGGCATTGATCTTCTTCTGCGGAGGCGGAGTTTAGCCACACTATTACGTCTTAAAGTGACACATTCCACAACCTGTCGTTTTGGCAGATTGGCTTCAATATAAGCTGTTTGTAGACTAACGAGAAAGTTTTGAGTTCTGAAAATTACAGGATGTTTTTATAGTACAATGACCTCTTATGTCAGAAGATCGAGGGAAATTTGATTTCTCAGTTCATGAGCCCTTTAAGGAATTGTTGTTGTTTTTTCATTTCAATTTTCACCTGAATTCTCATTATCATAATGTAAATTCCCTGCTGAAAAGCCAAAGTTCCCATAACCCCTTTTCAAAACCATAATTATTTAACAATGCATATACAATTTAATTGTCATAAAACATGGTTTAAAAAAATGGTCCTAAAGTAGGCTTTATTTTCTTTATTTTCTTCTAATTGTCTCTTTTCAATTGGAGTTAAATATTTTCTTCTATCACATGTTCTTGATAGGTTTTATGAGATTCACCCAAAGGCAGATGGAAAATCAACTGCAATGTCTGCCAATATTACCTGATACGTCTAGATGTTCCAGATTGGGACACTGGGATACCACATCAAACACTGCTTCGTTAGACACATTATAGCAGCCTGCAACCTCCAAACGCCGCAGTTCTGGACAGCACTGAGCGACCACACGTAGCCCGCGATCCGACAGCCTGCGGCAGCCACTGGCCACAACCGTCTCCAGGGCCAGACAGACATTGGGAGTGTCCTGACATAACCGATGGGTGAGCACTTTGAGGGCTCGGTCAGCGTTCAGCAGCTCTCCAGTCAGACGAATGGTACTCCAGAGCCGCGGGTCCCAGGTCAGGTTATACCAGCGGTGACACACTCGAGCGCAGCGGCACAGCTGAGGGGTGGACAGGTAAGACAGGACGTGTAGTAAAACAGGATCGGGCAGGATATCAATGAGGGTGGTGGGAGGAACTTTGGAAGGCCGTGAGCGAGTGCCTGGAGGCGGGTGAACCAGGGCAACTGTTTCCCCAGTGATGTTAAAAGATGTGGAAGACGTTTCATGGCCGTTTGGGACTGTTTGAGGGGAGACACAGGAAGGGTTTGACTTCAGAATGAGGGCGGGACTGGGAGTGCTAAGCGTCCTCATGCTCAAGTCCGAATCTGAAAGAACAATGAACATCATAAATACTAGCCCCTCCCCCTCCGCTATGTAATTAAAGCTGCGACAGCTGAGTGTACAAAGTGTCCAAAATTCAACACTTCTTTTTATTGGTTATTTAAGTGCACTTTTCTTTATGGAATTTTCAGTGTGAATGCACTACTCGCACTATTTATACTACAAAAAGGCATAGAATAGTGTGCAAGTACGCAAATTGGAAGACATGCCCCTTTAAGTTACTGTTGTTACATGTGATAAGCCACACATCATGTTCTCACGCAGTTAAAAATACATTGTGGAGCAAAGGACACTGACAACATGCTGACAGACAAGAGCAGCAGGTTACTTTTGATATGAAACAAAGTCTCAGCTTTCAAATTTTGTCATTTTTTAAAGAAATTCAAACAATAAATACCATTTTGTGGCTCTTTCATGTATCGTGACAGATCGCTTTAGCGCCTCAGTTCACATGGCACATGAACCGATCATCTCGTCCTCTTTACCACTAGTTATAGCACAAAATAAACTTGAATAAACACGTTTCAACGTGGAAAGACGTTAATACACACCATTTTTCAAGTTTAAGTCCACAAAAATTAATCTACCAACTCTGTCTGGTTTGTTTATCAGACTAAATGGCAGATTATGTGTTATGATTGGTCAGATGGCCTGTCAATCAAACTCCCGGCGAAAGGTGAATTATTTCAACTAGACATCAATGGGATTAAATGGAAAGCAAATGCATCTCAGATTTGAGAAAGTAAATTAGAAAAATAATGTCATTTACTGTTTAAAGGTAAGAGAGAATCTGATTCTTGTTAGGAGAGAATCTGATAACGCATTAAATGTCTAGAAGCACAAAGGATCCCAAATATGGAAGCCATCAACTGGTTTGAGAAACGCGTTTAGCACAAATGGTATTAACTCAAGCGACACTCTTGGGCTCTTTGTTCTCAAAACTGTTTCTGATATCTCGTTATTGGACGCTGATAAAAGTGTCAAGTTTATCTCAAATGCACTGTGCGCACTTGAAGTGCTTGCCACGGTTGAGTCTGCATTAATGGTGAAGCTTTCATTCTTTGCAGATGTTTCACTGATTTGGAAAAGATCAAGAGGAAGACTGGGTGGTACGGTAGATAGCTTGAGAGTTCTCTGCTAGATCTCACCGTAACCGTGGATTGCGACTGGGACCCCTTGCCTGTATTTTTATTTTCTATATGACATAAACTGGCTTGTAACTGGCTAAAAAGGTTTAGCTCAAAATGCTGACCTATAAAACAAGGCACTACCAACACCAAAGTCCTGGGTTTGATTCCTAAAGAACACATGTTTAGATTGAATGTGCTGTAATTGTTTTGTAAAAAAAGATTTAATATATCCCACAATGCACTGCATTCGACTTGATCTTCCATTTCCAAAGTGACATCAACCACAATTCTTAACATTTTTTTGACGTGGATTGACAAGATTTTAGGATGTTTTTATACCAAATTAAACATTACACATTCATTATGCAAAATAACATAACAGTGGTAACTAGACGCCACTGACTAATTTAAGTTTACACATACTGAGATGACAACATGATAAATATTAGGTCATGTGACAACAATATACTACTCTTCAAAATGTTTGCTGCATCACATTTAAAGGGACAGTTCACCCAAACATTCTTTCTTTCTTCTGTTAAACACAAAAAAAGATATTTTGAAGAATGTTAAACAGCTGAGGGTAGCCACTGACTTCCACTGATACTATGGAAGTCAATGGCTACCGTCAACTGTTTGGTTACCAACATTCTTCTGTGCTTTATACATTTATACATTTTACAGAAATGTCGCTAATGTGACTATACCATAATGCATACTACTTTGTTTTAAATTAATTGATTACTGACTATTACGCTTTATTCATTCCATATAGTTTCAAAGTGAGCACATATTATGCATAAATAAACAGCAATATAATTTGTTACATAAATTATAAATCATAAAGTAACAGTGAAACGCTGTTATGCAACTGATATCTCGCCACTGACTTACAATTAATAACAATCTTTTCTCCTTAGGTCAGTGTGGGGCTGAACAGTTTTACTGTGTGGGTTTGCGTTTAGGAAACTGGTTCATAAGCCAGTCATAAACTGAAAGATAATGAAGAGAAATATTAGGGGGGGAAAGCGTTTATAATATGTTCTTGTCTTCCCTTCCTCTCTATTTCACCTCCTTGTCAAGCCTCCTCCACAAAAATGAGCACAAAGGATGATAGAATGGGAGCAAAACATTTCCAAAGTCTGTCTTTTGGATTCATGGATTCCCATCCCTAAACTCTCGATTAATTGCTCTGCTAAGCTTCAGGATGGTTCTTCTGAGGAAGTGAGGGTTTATGTGTAATGATGCTTTCTGTACAGGAAGTTTTCTTTAGGAAGGAACTTCGGTGGCTCAGATCCTGACATGATGGATTAGTTTAAACAGAATTTTCCTCTGCAAGCCACTTTTTGCATGCAAGATTGCATTTATAGACGCTACATTAACAGACTTCAGTGCTAAAATGAATTAAACACCATCACACAAAAGGTGTAATAAACTCAAATGTATATATGAAATACAGAGTTCTGGCATGAAACTCTAGATGGCGCAGTCCGATAGGTCTAACTCAATCTGACCTAATTACATCGTTATCACATGGCACAGGTTCTCTCCTGTATTAGTAGCCAATGAGCTCGCTGCTCAGCATTCAAATATATGACTAGAGCTTGCCATAGCAGTGCAGCTTGCTTCAGAAGCCCTCCAGCTTCCCCAGCTCCACCTGTATAGATCTGCTACGAGGTGATTCATGTACGCTATATGGGGGTTATTTCATGTATGTTATATGTGCAGCAGCAGCAGCATTTCTTACATGCTCAAAGCAGCATGTTGTGGATGTATTGGCAGTAGCAAGTCTCGGTACTTGCTCTGCCGCAGCAGCAGCAGCGTAGCAGATCTATTCCGCCAAGACCAGATACATTAACATTGTCATGTACATTACCATGCCAATCCCTCTGAGAGTTGTCATGACAGAATTACATTTCTTAATGTATTTTTAAGCATTTTAATGAATAAAATGCCAATCAGATGCCATTGGTTATAATAAAAGTGGAGTTTAATGTACCGAGGGCTGGTCTTCAGATGAATTACTTTACGACTCTAATTCTCTGTGTATGCTTTGGCTCCAGACAGTGAGACAGTGGTCATCCACATGCCTGTCATCCCACAGTGATTTACTGCATATACAGGGACAGACAAACTCCTTCCCTTCTTCCTCATGTGAGAATGAATGACACACAAAGCCCTCTGCTGCGTAGATTTGTGCTTTTGTGCATTTTTTACATGTGTGTGTGTGTGTGTGTGTGTGTGTGTAAGTGCAGTAAGTCAAGGAGATTTGTGTTCCAGACTTGACCTGAGATCAGTTTGACTCACGGCCAGGTCATGATGACATACACAGACTCTCACTCTCGAGTAGTGTTGCCAAAAGACCCGGTACTTCGGTACCAAGTCGGTACTAAAAAAATGAAAACGTTACGGTACCAGGTTTTCTTAAGTACCGGTGGTACCGAGTACCCGGTCAACCCGGTTCTTGATGCGCTATCCGAAATGTTTAACGTTATTAATAAAAATGTTGTTCAATTAGCATGTTTTTGTGTTTTGCTTTGGTACCGAAATTGGTACCGAGAACCGTGGATTTTCACTGGTATTGGTACCGAATACTGAAATTTTGGTACCGTGACAACACTACTCTCGAGGGAGCAAAATGTCTTCGGCATGACAGAAGAGGGCTACACGAAACCCCTCCAGACCCTCAGGCGGAGCCACGTCCAAGACAAATAAAAACAAACTGGTTTCAAATCACAGAATCAATCCAATATGCCTCATCAAGTTTAAAGTGTTCTTCTCTGCCAGTCAAACGAGGACACATAGGCCAGAAACCTAGATGCATGCATGCTGTCTATTTCTATTTCCAGTCTATTTCACCACTAAATTCCACATCAATAGCAAGAACTTTGGATGCTCATTTCATCTGACTCATCACATAATTTCTTGTCTAAATACATGGCCAGAATTAGGGGTGACACCATATCAGATTTTCACTACACAATTATCTTTCACGTCAACAATATTATCGTGATATCTAAGTAAATAATAACTTCAAAAGTGTCAAATTCATATTTAACTTTGTTTAATTCGTGTTTTCTCTTTTTTGGCCAGTAAATCACACTGAAATTTTGAGTGTAGGGAGGTTTAGATAGAGTTTGTAACCATAAATTTACAAAAGTGTGCAAAAAAAAACATACTAGTCCTGCACATCCTGCAGACTGGGTGTCCGACATCTTATCTTTTTAGACTCTGGCGAGCTTTTTTTGAGTCTGAATAAATATCTCACTTTCATCTGTCATCTCCTCGACATGATTTTGTGTGGCAGTAGCTATATATATATATATATATACAGTGCTGATTGAAAGTTTGTGAACCCTTTAGAAAGTTCTATATTTCTGCATAAATATGACCCAAAACATAATCAGATTTTCGCACAAGTATTGAATTTTCAAATTGCACATACATTTTCCCACATAAATGTGAATATACAAAATTTGTTCAAATATATTTATACACACACAGTACCATATTTTAACACATGTACGTCTGTATATTATGAACTGTATTATTGAATATAAATTTATATATATATATATATATATATATGTATACAGTATATATACATACATATATATATATATAATAAACATACACATAAGTATATGTATTGTCACATTTTTTTTCAATATATGAAAAGCGGCAATTCCTTATGTATTATTCAGTATATTATTCTGTGTATTTTCAATATTTATTGTTAAAGTAGATGTGTTATTATTCAAGTAACTAAAAAAAATAAATAAATCCATATTTGTGTATTCCAAGTCATACAATATTTGAGTGAATAACAATGACATTAATTACAATACATTTTC